AGATAGCAGTAGGTAATATATAAGTAACACACAATGTAGGTACATAACTCAAAATCATCGGTAATAATAATAGATACCTACTATTAATGGAATATTGTTGAAATTATTTAAAAATCCGATATTATAATCTTTCGGACATAAATGTGTACACTTAGAGTGATAATACAGACTCAAGCGCGTATCAGGTATATATGGCTATATATACAATTTCGGAGCGATGTTTTCATTTCGATCCAACAGACCGAGAAAGCCCCTCCGGTCAACATGTCAATTCCATTTCGTCGGACCCGCGAGAGATCGAAAACCACTTACTGTACAGGTCTCCAGGTCGCCCGTGTGTGTGTGTGTGTTTGTGTCTGTGTGAGCGTACCGAAAATGACTAATGAGCGACGTGTGTTCACTCGACTTGCGGTATAAACTTGAAACGGTATACACACAGAGTCATAGGTACACACATGCACACACAAACACAAGCGTTAGGAAAGGAAGGGAAAAAAGGAGTAATATTGTAATAATAATAAAACTGAAAAAACCTTGGGGCGGCCGAGAGGAGAATGGCCTCTGATTATAATGGTGATGATGAACCATGAACCTGAAGCCACGCTTATACTTATATATTATATATGAGTGTGATGTGTGTATAATGTATAATTTCGTCTGCTGCCGACGCTGCTGCTGACCTCTACCGAAAAACACATGTCACTTCTGAAAACGCACTTCTTCCGATAATTAGACGTAAGTATAATATTATTATTATATTCATATCAGGATGCACGTTGTTATAATAAATCGCGTAGTGCAAAATATGTGTACGAGTGCAGTAGCGAGGTGTCGACCGTTGGCTTTTCTTCTGATTCTATAATATTTATATACAGACTGACTCTCCAACCATGATCATCCCTATTTTCCCCTTAAATAATGATTTTATTCAAATGATGATTTTTGGAATTTTTAAAATATAACTAATGAGTAATGACCCTGTACTTATTCGATTTTTTAACCATTAAGGAGTTAATATCCATAAATGACATAATATGTGACATATTATATTTTAGTATATTATTTAGCTAAAGCAATCACCGACCTCTTTTTAATGCACATTTTTCTGGTGATGATTTTTTTGTTGCTTTTTAGCCATTTTAATTAAAACTAATTTAAGTACTTATATAGAGTTATTAAACTTTGTAATTTGTGTACTAAGGGTCGATGATAGTTGTACGTAAATTGATTTAACATTTAGTCTAGTACTTATTACCTGATACCTATAATACTTGGAAAATTTTAAAATTTTTTTTAAATATTAATTACTATAATTTTCAAACCATCATAGTTCTATATAATATCTTCTTAATCTATTATAATGGTTTCTTCTTATAATTTATATACATAACATATGTTGATAGTTTAGAAGCTACTCTTTCAATTTTGATTTATATACAACAGCATTTCCAAAAATATTTTAATTTATTAATAACATTGTGCAAAAACCTTGTTTAATAACTAATTCAAATTATGTTAAAAAAGATTTTCAGAAACGTTTATGGGTATTTTTTGAGAAAATTCTAGTGTTTACTGTTTAAGTAATCACCCTGTATAAATGGTGAGAACGAGAAAAAAACACTTAAGCGCCGGTAATGATTGAAAAAAAAATAACGTGGTATCGAGTTTCGGATTAATAGAAGTATTACCTGAACGTTAACAAGTCCTATACAAAAGTGGGCACCTACCTATAATATTTATAGGTAGGCTGCACGCGTATCCAACGTTATATCAAATTATTATTCTCGCCCCGGCAGCTGTGACGCCGCATAAATAATATTGTGTTCTAAATCTTACAATTTATTGTATCTACATGTCAAACTCTCTCTGTGGAAATAGCGTCGAGGTATGAAATATCTAACACGTCTCGAAGTCGCGCGTGCATATTGGAAAAACAATAACATAATTATTAACGGTCGAGGATCAAGTAACTACCCAGTCCAGATGACAGAAGTTGAGAACAATAGTTAATGGAAGATCCAAAAATGTCACAAACCGGAAACATTAAGACTAATCACTTTGTATTGTTAAAAAAGTAAAAATAAACCCACCACTTCCCCCCCACCAGTTTCACGTTGGTAGAAAGGGTGGTAAAAAAGAGTGATAATATATTGTGATACATATAAAGGAGTGATATATTTTTGGCATTATAATTTTGTGTTGTTATAAACTTTAAAACATTGTAAATTGTAAGCAGTTCTTATTTGGGTGTACAATTCTGCGTATAATTAACTATATAGGTTTCTAATATTTTGTAGTGAAAATTGCTTTTAAAAATGAACAAAGGTGTATCCCAGATGTTGTTACCTATAATTAGTAGAGTTCTTGAAAATAAATGTATAGCGTACAGTAATTATCTACATTAAATTAAATATTAATGGTTCTAAGTTACAATAACTATTTTTTTTACTTCGTTAACAAAAAAGATATATGAATTTAAGCTTAAACGATAATTTTTTTCCCCTCGAGTATATTATGTCTTGTTGTCACTACACCAGGATGACGAAAACGTGGGTGGGTTCCGAGTAATGTGACTAGATTTGGTACGGGACGTAATAATTTGCCTGTATAATATTATTGTATCAAACCACTAAACAGAGAAGACACCGTCCTCAGAGTGGTACAACTAAACACACACACACACACACACACACACACACAAGAGAGAATTAAGACGTTTCACACAAAATGAAACTGTAATAATAATATACGTCTGAGTTTCGGTCGTAAAACTAGTATTTAAGAACCTTTGGTGTCGTAGTATATAAAAATAAGGTCGGATTTTTGGGGTCCTATTGTTGTGGGCGTGCAGCAAAACCCGAGGACGGATGAGGTTGGAAAAAATATGAAATAATATTATATGGTCAGCCGTCGTTCGGGGTAGGACCTTGAGAACTGTGGGACACATACACAAAAAAAAACTAATAATCGATCCACACACAACACGCATACAAACACACACGCACATGCAAGTCGGGTTTCGTGCTACGTTACGGGACGTCGCGAGTCAAAGGAGCCGACGGACGACCGGTGTACCCGCCACTTCAGGCCCTTGTCGAGTGATTTATACGAGCGGTTCTGCTCAATATAATATATAATATTATATATTATATATTGTATGTGATATTGTATACGTGCACTCGTAAGTCGTAGCCTAAATACGGTCAGTCCTCTACGCTATTCAATATTATGCACAATAATAATATAACGATGAGCAACAACCGACGTGAACTCGGAAAATCAGCGTGACTCTAATGTTTGTTTTATCGATACGAAAAAGAAAAGAAATCAAAATAGCGAACGCGTAGATACGGCAGACGACAACGACGCGCAAACTGTAGACCGGAGACGACCCGTATAATAATAATATGTGCCCTCCAAACCGGACTTCTTAAAGGTCCCGTCCTTGAACGAAACCGCTGTCTGGACCGACTGAGAACAAAATATAATATATAGCATACCTAATATACATATAACGTACAAAATACGAGCATGTATATAGGTATGAACCATAAAATAATGCCATTGATAAAAATGGTTTTTTTGTACAGTATTTTGCTTAGGGATATGATGATATCGGTACCGCTCACCTAATATAATTTTAGTAGATATAAGTTATGCACTTATGCATCCTGCCCTTAATATTATTTTAATTGTTCGGTAGAATACTAATTATGTCTTTATTTTGGTTTTTTTTTTTAATGAAGTTGTAATAACTATTGTAAACATTGTTTCAACATCATTCGCATCTTTTATCGTTTTTATCAGTACCTATTGGCTATTTAATTTAAGAGCTCAATAACTTCAGTACAAGCTCCAGTTACTTATAAAGAAAATGAGTGCATTTTGTTTTTGTGCATCACCATATAATATTATTATGCTTAAAATTTGTAGTTGTTTCATCTTTATTTCCATAAATAATATAGGTACCTACTTATATTATTATATTATTAAAAAAAAAGTACAAAATACAAATACTACACGATCCTGTATGCATAAGCTACATGAATTAAATCTACTAATGGGTACTAACCATATTGATGAAAACGGATTATATGATGGAAAATATTTTTATTAATTATTATTATATAGCCATATGGGTAGGTCGTAAATATTATTTTATCATCACATTGGATTCGATACAAATACTGATATACAGATCGATATTTAATAGTTTAATAATACATTTTGGCGGGACTATATAATTTTGGTTTAGTTTCGTGTCTTGTCAAAATGTTTTATTATAATATACCTATAACAAATCGTTTTCCATTTTTTGTAGGTGCGTTCGATGATAATATGTAGGTATGCTTTGTTAAAAATATGTGATCGTTTAAAAACTAACTTTGTTCTTGTATCGTTTCCGTTGATTGATGTTTTGTTCTGTAACATTTATTATCTTCAAACACGTCAGAAAACCACGCTCTTTATTCCTTGTTGTCGGGACAAACGTACATAATTTAAGACATAATTTTCAATGACGTGCCCTTTTCGTTTTTTAAATACAAATTAAGGCACCTGTCACGCCGCCGGGGTAAACGATGATACTGTTGTGTAATAATTTTGTCTCTTTCTCAAGGATAACGGTTTTTTTTTACTAGTGTTTTCATGTAAACTTTTTGGAAAGAACATGTATGTACCTATTTAAAAAAAATATTCATCTAACCACATACTTATAATACGCGTCTAATTTATTCGATAATAAGTGGAGGACGGCACTAATCATACCTAGAGTTGCAGAATATTGGGGTCGCGCATATCTCGAAACGTACCTCGACACATTTCACGATGGAGAGGAACAAACGAGCACAAGTCAAAAATTATGGGATTGATATTGATGATTAAAACGACACTAAACGCTGAATTGGATCGCGCGGAGACTCACGATGTAATATAATAATAATAATAACAATAACAATAATATCACAATCAATGTGACCGCAATACGACATTATCGTTACCTTGCAACTTGATCTCCGTCTCCCAGAACTTTTGTAGCTCCGTGAAGTATTTATCGAGTATGAACACCTTGGAATGACCCACGCTGGCCATCACACCCGAATCCGGCGCGGTGGTATATAATATAGGTAAGTGTGTGTTTCTCTAAGGAACCGCCGTCGTCGTCGTCGACGACCAAGTCATCGCGATTCACGCCGCAAGTCACTGGTCCGGATTACGCGTTTAATAATAAGTTTGCTTTGCGGCCCGACGAGCTGAAGTCGCCGACTTCATCGCAAGAAAACTCACACACGATCACACATGAAATCACGCGAAAAAATACGCACTGGCACGTCGGACGGACACAATCGCACTAGGCGGCGGACGGACACGGACTGCGGCGGCAGCGAGAGAGCTCCGGGCGGCGGCGGACCGACGACCGCGGGAGGATTCTTCAACTATCGAGCACCGGCGGCGGCGCTAACTATCGATATACGGCGTGGCTGGCGTGTCTAAAAGGTAGGCGGCAGGCTATGGGCAACAGGTAGGCAGGAGTCGTATATAAGGTACCCGCTCGTCGCTTTTCCATCCCGAGTCGTCTCGTTATTATACGAGGCTGTGATCCACGCTGCTCGCTATATTTTTACTGCTACTCGGCCGCCTGCGGGGGTTAATCAAAATCAAGGTCATTCGTACCGACTTTCTAGGTTTGATTCTTTTCGTTTAGGCATATTATATTTGCTTTTCCGGAAACCGTATTATACCTATGCATAACAAGTGCGTATAATGTACAGAGTATACTGTGTTGAAGCACTTAAAGGCAATTTATACAGTCTGTCAGGAGTGTCAGCCTACCATGATATTATTATATACCACCACCGCCGTTTCGGCACAACCGCGATGGTGCGACCGTTGACCGCCGTGCCACCGTGGTAGGCGATTATAACAGAGACGCCTCGACGAAACAAGAATACGAAAAACGTGATTTTTATATAGACGTTATACCTACTATATAATAAAAAATACAATTTTTTAACAAAAAATTCTCATACAGATAACGGCTTTCGTGTGATATAGTTTGCTGCAGCAGTAATGTCGAACTCATTTAAGATAACTAAATAATTGTAAGAACTAATCAGAGTTGCACGCATTTATTTTACTACCACAACAATGTTAAAATGTGACAATTGACAACAATTATAGTGTTATAGATGTTATCATATTATATTACTACGATATTTATCATACGCACGTTATACTTTATAATGTAATATATTATTATGTGTTGTTTCTAATTATTATTTGTTACCTATATATAACATATGTCATATACCATACCCCCATTAAATTATGATAATAACCATTAATATTGTTTTATCGTTGAAATAAATGTGTCAATACACTGTGTTTATAACTATTTATAATGTTAATTTATCTTCAACGGTATTATTCAAATAAAAAGATACACGTAAAAACTATACTAAGAAAAAAAACGCAAGCCAGTTGTCAGCTTTCGTGTTTCTATAGATGTCATCTACTAATCTACAAGTCTATGAAATATACCAATACTTAATGCTATAATAGTACCTAATACTACATATACATTATACTATTGCCTAATTGAATTCAGTAAAACCGATAAAATAAGTAACCCATTTCATTAATTTAATGGCAACAAGACAACTATACCCCTGTGTAAAAAATATAAAAAAATGTTGGCCAAAAATATTTTTTATAAAACCAACAATTTTATTATTATAATGTTATCAGTACAGCGACAAATTTCTCGACGGATCGACCTCTAGAACAATAGGTATAATGTATTCGATATACAAATGATATAGGTCTGGAAACCTAAAAACAGACAAAAGGTTACTGAGGAATGGCAAACAGTATCAAATGACAAATGACAAATGACAAATAAAATGTATAATATCGACTTTAATGAGTTATGAATATTGTGCCTATACATATAACACTTATAGGTTATCTATAAATTTATATAGTTTCAACTGTGACAATTTATTCATAAGATTGCATAATTATAAGGCCACCACAATACATATTACTGGTGCATACTACATTTAAAGGGGAATGGTAAACTCCTACAAATGTAGTGTTATCTCCTACCAAAGATAGTGTTAACTCCTACAAAAGATAGTGTTAACTCCTATAAAAGATAGTGTTAACTCCTACAAAAAATTAATACCGCTCGTATTGCTGTAAAAAATATCAGTCTTGCAATATATTAACACATAAAATAAAAATGGTTTGAAAAATATAACAAAAATGTTAATAACACAATAATCTGAATAATCATTATCATTTACGTTTAAAACAAAATTTTTAAAATATAGATAATAAAAGTGTTAATAAAATAATAGTCATAATCATTTAATCCTAAAACAAAAATTATTTGAAAAATATAATAAAACAATAGTCAAAATCACATAGGTACGTTTAAAAAAAAAATTTTTGAAAAAAAATAATAAAAAATTCAATAAAACAATACTAATTCATAATCATTTACGTATATTTTTATGACTTGTTTTATCGTTATTCAACAATATTCGATGCCATATCGCTGATCTATTTAAAACATTTTGTACTGCAAGTGCAGCCGATATGAACGTATAGTATAGTATATAATATGGATATAATCTAACCTTCAAGAATTATCATACAGCGTACAAACAAGCTCTATTCAAGCGTTTGTTCATTAAATAATGTATATTTATTTTTTTCAAGTTATGATAATTTTGAGCTTTTTAACTTTAAAATTGTGAATTTAAGTAATATTACCCTATTTTTTAAAGGGAAAAATGTCTATGTAGGAGATTACAATATCTTTGATTTTCAGGTAAAAATTTTAAAAGGTTATTAGTGTAGGAGTTTACATTTAATGATGATTCAGGTAAAAAGGTTATTCGTGTAGGAGTTTACATTTGGCCCATTTAAATATGTAGTACATTTTCGATATTAAAAAAGTCGTGATACCGAATAGGTAACGTAAAGAAACAACGGGATTTCTGGATCATCGAACACGCGTTTAATATTTAATTTATATTTTTCAGATGAATGTTTAATGGGAATATAAAAAAAAATTCTCTTGTAAGTAAATAATATTATATTATTTTACTAAGATAATTGATTGTTGAATAAATTAGGTACATGTATACAATTTTAAAAGTTTTCGAACTCAATAAGATATGAATTACCTACTTCTATTTCGTATCCAAACCTGAATTACACAATGTGCAGCCCTACAATGAGTTTAAGTTTCAAAGATAATAATTGCGTGTATATAATATACACAAAGTCATATTCCTAATAGGTAAAGATATTTTAAAGATGAATTTGTATTAATTCTAATTTAATTACAATAGCATTTAAATTTTAAACAAGATCATTGCTTAAAGTCTAAAATTGCATTATTTATTTCATTATTTGTTTATTACGAGATAATTAATAGTAAATCACGGATACAAATTAAATGAATAAAACGTGAAAAATAAATACGTTTATAAATAGAAAAAGTGTTTGATGGGTAAATATAAATATGATTTCATTTAGGTATTTAACGGTATTTCGGATTACTTTAGGTATGTTAAATGTTTGATTTTGATAAAGAATAAGATGTTTTGGGGGCGCAGTCAGGGTGATTATCAATTAAGCCATCGGATTACTAACTAGCACATTAAGTGTTAACTATAAAATACTGAAATACTTGTATAGTATTATGCTGTAAAAAAGTCTATTTGCATAAAAAGGAAAAATCATTATCATAGAATGTGTAATTTGTTAATCAGAGAAGTTCTCAGAATTTATATAAATTAGAACGTAAATGAAAACTGTATACCTACCTAATAATATATCTCATAGCTTATAACTTATAACTTACATTCGTAAATCATAATATAATATATATATATATGCGGCTTGTAACGTTTGTATACATACATACTTAATACAATTTTTAAATTGTACAATTTCAATATACCCATTCTGACGAGGGCGGGTTTGTAAATTAGATTTATCCAATTATTTTAATCCTGTGCACAAATATATATATGCATACGCATTTCGATATTATGCACTACTCTGTTGCTTAGGAAAGCGTATGTATTTACTATATATAAACAGAGCAAACCTATGTATTATAATTTATAATACGTTGTAAATGCATAAGCATAATGCGAGTCGACAAACGCATATTATGATCGGCGGACTCATTTAAATAAGAAACCCCCGCGCAATAAATAGCGAGATCGGAAAGCTCGAATAAATTTATCGAGATCTACCTATATAATAATATTATAATAGTGTTTCTCGTTAAATTTTTTGTTATTCTCGGTCCGCCATCAATATAAATCGGTAGAACGGAGCAGTCAGCACGACATAAAAGAGTTATAAATATACCTACCTATATATTTCATCTACATATTACATAAATATGTATACAAAATGTGTTGAATAATAATATTAGGTCCTATTATTATATTGTATTATATTATATGTTGTTGTATGTATTCTGCACGTTATAGGTCGGCGACGAGCACAATAATTGAATGAAAATTGTGCATGGATGCATACGAAATCTTCGTGATAAGATATATCTACATAATAAATAATAATACAGTACCTACCTTTTAAAATTTTTATAATTGAATATATTGTGAATGTTAAGAAGTAAATTTTATTTATTTATTAAAGTAAAACAGATAAAGAATTGTTCTTGAATAAAATACATATAATATAATAAACTACGTTTATGAATGAGAAGAGTGTGTATACTGTATATTATATTATGTACACGGGGTGCATTACGGCATAAATAAAAAAGTAATCGACAACGATTTTGAACACTAAAAAAACGATTTAAATGTTAATTCAAACAACGCGATTGAAATATATGTTGTTTTATAGGGTATGCCTATTTATTGTGTGTGAGTTATTCGACGAATTTAAATATATATATATATATTTTTAAATGTTTTTTATAATCGTAAAATCAAATCCTATTATTCATTTCCAAGCGCGTATTTTAACCAGTACCAAACCCGAAATACCTTATGTACGCAATTGAATGGATATTTCCATTTTCCATTATAATA